TGGTGTAGGGTACACCGCCGCTGGCAAGAGCATAGAATTTAACGATGAGGCAGTCCCCGTGTCCGAATGTCACTCCTCGTCCCTTTTTCGTGGTACCTGCTAGCAAATGCTCACCTATCCAACCTCGCAGGTAGCTAAATCATCGGACATGGTATATGGAACATCGCCTCTCCCTTACTGTTGTAACGCATAGCATGTCTTTCCGACGCCTGGGACCTGCCGGGCTGCGTGTGCCATTCCTCTCGCTCGGAGGGTGTTCGTTCTGTCCCATGACTTTCAATTCCAGATCCTCACAATTCGCGTTAACAGGGCCGACCATCGGCGGGTCCGTCATCGGAGACCCGGTGAAGGGAAGTCTACATTCTGTTCTCACTGCTTACTTCACACTAAAGAGGGCAATCGCGCGCCAGAAAATCATCAAAACGGCGTTTGAGAACGGGATTAATATGTTCGACAACGCGGAGGACTATTCCAAGGGGAAATCCGAGATAGAGATGCAAGTGGTCGTCCCATCTTTCTGAAATAAAATAACGACTCCATTGGCAGGGGCCGTGTCATCAAAGAACTCAACCTTCGACGCACTGACCTCGTCATTTCTACGAAGATTTTCTGGCCCGCGAGATGGGCCGAATGACAAGGGACTTTCGCGCAAACAGTATGTCGAATCTGTATTGTGGATTGAAGCATGTTGAATCCGGAGCCTGGTTCAGCATTATCGAGGCGCCCAAGAATGTTTGCAGCGCCTGCAGTTGACCTACGTGGATGTTATTTTTGCGCATCGTTGCGACATCACGGGTGGGTTCAAACCATCCTCGTACTCTCCTGAGAAAAAGTCTGGCAGTCCCGATGGAAGAAATCGTCCGGGCTTTCAATTATGTGATCGAGAAAGGCTGGGTGCGTTTCGGCCTTCCCCGAATAACCTCTGTTGACCAGGTATCAGGCGTTCTACTGGGGTACATCCGAGTGGACTGCGCAGCAGATCGAAGAAGCACATCGTATGTCTCTCTGTCGTGATCAATGTGCCCATGTCATTGAGAACCTGGTAGACATCGCCACGAAGCTCAACCTAATTGCACCGATTGCCGAACAATGCCAGCACAAGTACGTTCAGTCTTGTACTTGAGCGCAGGCCGTGATATTCCGGTTTTTTGCAGTATGTTCCATCGGGAGCGACCCGAGAAGGAGTATGCGTACGTGTTAAGCATAAATATCCCCCGTCCACGCATAATAATATACCTCACAGACCCTTATACAAAAACTACGGGCTTGGAACCACGGCCTTTTCCCCGCTTCACTTTGGTGTTCTCACTGGAAAGGTACGCCTGCGCCACGACGGCCAGGCACTCCCGAGCTAAATTTCATGCCAAGTACAACGACGGCATCCCTCCAGACTCGCGGTTCGCGACAGAAGGGATGTTCGCCGGGATGGTCGACGGGACCGATGGCCAAGAGAAAATTCGCAAGGTCCGGGAGCTCACGAAGATCGCGGAGAGTATGCAACCCTGCATTTGATTTCAACCCAAGTCAATGCTGATTTTGGGGGTAGGCCTCGGAGCGACGCCAACCGCCTGTGCGATCGCGTGGGTGGCCAAAAACCGAAATACATCCACGGTAAGCCTGGGCGTTTCATCAGCCAAACAGTTGCTCGAGAATCTCAAGGCGTTGGAAGTGCTGCCGAAGCTGACGGACGATATTGTGCAGCAGATCGAGGGAATTTTGGATAATAAGCCCGTGTTGGAGATGCTTTTCTTCATTCGGGGCGGAGAATAATAGCTAATATTTTGAGTTTAGCCGAATCATGGGAGGCCGCTTTTGGATACGTTTGGACGGGTTTCAAATTGAGCAAGTCAACGTCAACACGTGATGGTTGAAAAAAATCTTCATTTCCTCCCCGAGTCTCCTCTCAGGTCGCAGTGTAGTGTATACTAGGCGGAGTGACCCAATGTACAATTCTATTTGGGTTGGATCATTACTGCGGCACGAAACCGTGCCGGGGAAGACATATTGCGATTTGTTACACAAACTCAAAACCGTCCTTTGCTCTTGAAAGACTCTATTTCCTGGGGAGGAACAGCTCTGTTCTCGGATTTCCATATCTTTTCCTCCTCGCTACGGGGCTCAGGCGGAGCCATCCCGTTCATGTTCCAGAGCAATCGCTGCAATACCCGGTGTCAGAAGTGTACAACATGTGCAAGAATAAGCTCACATCTGCGTCAGTGACCTGGACTTCCCAATCGATACCGCGGCCTTTGGTGAAGGGCTCGAGCGCTTGCTCATACCGATCCATGAACTCGCGCTTGGCTGCTGCATCACTGGGCGATGCATGAGTATGACATGTGTCGAATGGATGTCAAAACTCACTCGGCAAAACTACGGGCGATGTGCTCGACCCCGATACGAAGCATGCGCTCCGTGACCTTGCCCCCAACGATGAGGTTGCCAGCTTCGAGCTCGATGAAGACGACCACCACATAGAAGGCGGGGAGCAAGGCGGGAGGCCCGGTGTATATCTTGGTGATGGCCTGACCGATGGCCTCCTTGTCCTCGGGAGTGTAGAGGCCTTTGGGAACGAATAGACGGTGAAGAGGCATCTTAGTGGGTGAGTCTCAAGTTAAGTTTCATATTGCTCTGGGGACTCCTGTCTTATATACTGTACCGTACGCGTGCGAGGCGGCGTTTGACGGATGGGGAAATTGTAGCTCGCACAAGGCCGTGGATCATATTACCCCGGGCTTACTCGCCCTCCCTGCCCGAGCCAAGACCCAAAAGGATGGGGACGCATTATTGACGATTGAGCCGAACTCAACATGGTCTTTGACCGGTTTGGACCATGACTGCTCCGCTGATTCTGGATATGCTTACATTCTCGCATGCCAAAAATCTGCAAGTAATTCACCATAGCTCGGCCAGGCTCAGACTCGACCGAACCCTCGGGGAACTACTTTGATTTTGGTAACACGGTCAAGTGCCCGAGGCTGCCCGAGGTTCGCCACGTCATGCCATAATTAAAAATAAATGGAGCTGAACGAGTGTTTGGTCGTGTTGTTGTCCTTGGGCACACTATGAATGTTGTTTTCGTTGTTTATTCGTGGTCCAGCCGGGTAGTCTGTAGAATAGCTGATATCCCAACTTCTTGTGTCGTGGTTCAGGGCTTGATCCAAGTCGAACAGCGTAGTTTGATGCAGAGGACAGCATCTAAGTTCCAAGGCGCAAATCTATCTCGCACTGCAGGCAATGTCCAATTTTATGACCAATTTCAATGAGAATTTATCCTGATATTTTATGTGATCATATTAGAATAAAATCAAGGCTTTCAGTAGGATAGTGTGGTGATTTTATCAACTATCACCATAGTATCATTGATTTTATGGTGAATTACCTATAACATCGCTATAAAATCAACTGATACTAGCAGTATGCCCGTGCTACGCTACGTGATTCCAGAATTGGTATTTTACTTTGGCTAGGTAAACATAAATTAATTTGAAGCAATCACAGCTGCCTCAGTCTACCTGTGCTTCTTGCCAGAACCCCGAATGGTGAACCATCTGCACTAAGCAGCAAGACTCACCTAAATTTTAGTGGACTTGTTAGGTTGATATTTAAGATGCCGCTCGTCGCCAACCTCCGGTTGACTCCTCGCGGCCTCGTGAATCGTTCCATGGGCTGTGGATTCAATTTTTATCCTCTAATGCTTCATCACCAACAGTTGACTCGAAGTTAAAGCTTTGGTTCAATTACCCTTTATTTGAGAAAGAGACCCGAATAAAGACAGCTTTCCTTGAACTGGGTTCGAAAACGAACTGACTAAATGTGTAGGGCTTGGATAAAGACAACTTACTCTGAAAGGGTTCCAAAATGCACTGGTTGAATGAGGCATTCAATTGCAGTGCCAGTGAATGTACAGCATGATAAATTTCAGGTCTATATCTAATGAGCAGATATTCAAGCGATAATAAATTGCGCTGGCGGCGCAAGACAATTTTGATGGCGAGGAATGGTGACTGACCAAATTACTGTTTCATTCTATAGCACGTGGCCGAGATCATACTCTCAAGTTATGTTCGGAGTCTTCCAACAGTGGCCACAGACCGTAGGGAACTTGACTGACCGGTATACGCAAGAGGCCAAAGACTCGAGCGGCGAGGCGAGTAAACATCTCAACAGTTATAAATAGCAATCCACCATTTGGGTGGAGAACTCAGCATCGCGGTGGGTCCGTGGAGCAACTGACATCATTTGGAGCTCTTGGAGCTATTTGTCTCGAGACAACGGTTCTGCCAACCAATCAGGTTATGTGGTCAGACATAAACCTTTGTGAATTCTTATATAGATTATTGTGATACTATTATAAAATACCTTCATGAATTCTGAGTGAGAGCAGCAGTAAAAACATACCTTGTCTCGCAGTGTCGGCCGCTCGGCATAGCAGCACTTTTGATGTGCCTGTTCGGCAAACGCGCACCACCGTCTCTCGCCACTCAAAGTGCACGCATTGAGCAGAAAAGACACCTAATTATGGGCGCATACGTTTGTAAACCAAATTGCTCCTTTATCACAGCGATGATGGGTTGTACTCAAAAAAATTCCTGCGCAATATGCGCCCGCCACTCACATCCATTCATTTTGTCCCGAGATTGATTGGGTCGAGCGTGTAATCCATATGAAATCATCTTGGATTTTTACGGGCCAGAGGCCGTGACCTTGGAGGCTTGGGAGCTTGTATGATAGAGGACATTCCTTGTTTAGGGCATCGGCACGGCTCGGCCCTTAATACAAACGTGATCCGGACCAACAGAAGCAGTTGGTTCTGCATCAAAACCACAATCTTCCGACTTAGAATAAACGACGATAATAAATGTCATACCATACAGAGGCTGATCGGGATTCAACGTTCAACGTTCAATTCCCCGTGTCCGAACGCCCCTACTCGGCTCCTTTTCTCTCTTTGCCTGCCGAAAAGATGCTCACCTATCCAACCTCGCAGGTATAGAGAGTGCTTGGACATGGTGTACGGTACATGGCCTCTTTTCCTGGGCTCAGGGAAGCTGCATGAGGCAGATCGGGGTTCGACTCCCCGTGTCCAAATGCGTGGAGTATATTTTTTTGCTCCGGGGCAAAGAATGCTCACCTACCCAGGTTCACAGGCAGTCTGAGGCAGAGAAAGCATCGGATATGGTGTATGGAACACGGCCTTATTCCTTGACAAGGAAAACAAGAAACTATGAGCCAGTACGGGGTTCGACTCCGAATGTGGGATCCCGGATATTTGTTCTTTTTCTTTGCTCCGGTGCTAAAAAATACTGACCTATCAGAGTCCGCAGGTATATAAAGAAACGGACATGGTGTACGGAGCACCACCTCTCCTCTTGAAATCTTCGAATCAGACTCGCTGAGGCAGCCCGGGGGCTTGACTCCCCATGTCCGAATGTGCTGGCCCAACCTCTTTTCTCTTGCCTGCCGGAAAGATGCTCACCTATCCAAATCCACAGGAATACAAATAATCTGACATGGTGTAGGGTACATCGCCTTTCCTCCTGGACTTGGAGGAAACTGTATGAGGCAGATCTATAACAAACGAGGTACGAGTTGATATTGTTATAACATCTGTTTAGAAGAGACTAAGGCAGATCGGGGTTCGATTCCCTGTGTCCAAATGATGGCGATCTTCTGTCATTCCTATTTCTTGCCCAGTGCCAAAGGATGCTCACCTATTCAAGTCCACAGGAATACAAATCATCGGACATGGTATACGGTACACAGCCTCTATTCCTTGGCAAGAAAGTAAAACCGAATGATGCGGCAGATCGGGGCGCGACTCTCCGTGTCCGAATTCAAGAGGTGTAAATATTTTTACTACGTGCGCGCGCTTAGCCCTGCTGAAACCTTTCTTCCTTGTATTTGTGCTCCTCCGCATCCGTATGCGGCACACTTCGCAATTTAGCAGTAGTGCTGTGTCGCACTTGAACGCAATGTGCCGCACATCAAATGTTCGGTCGTCGCATTTGTTACATCCTCGAGAAAAGTGGCTCCGATAATCGGCGCGGACACACCGGTCGCAAGGAAGTGTGAAATTGAAGATCAATACAACCCTGATAGAGGAGGAGTAGAACATCCCATCCTTGCTGATGACCCACGCAAAGTCTACCTGTGCCATGCTGATTCCGTGCTTCTTTGCAAATTTTGTCGATTCTGACAATCAACATTTGACGCTTATGTAGGGCTTCCGCCCGTGACCGTCGAGACGGTTTGACAGCACCCGTTCGACGTGGTTATTACAATTCCTGGTGCGCTCGGGGCCGTACAATTAGGGATTGGTGTCCCTAGTTCGATACATTCAGGCATCTGGTACAGGGATAGGCTTCTCCGCCATTGCAGCCAAGCGGAAGATGTGACGAGGTTGGGAATCATGCACATCATCAACGTAGTCGATGACCGGCGTATCTGTTACGTCGAGTTTAAAACCCAATGCACGACTCGAATGCAATCACTCACGTATCGTCGAGCGATTATCAAACATGACGATCGTGCGTGGGCTCCAGTGAACGCGCGCTTGGATATCGTGCGAGCCAATTAAGTGTTGGAGCAAAAACTCTTGGATGGGCTTCCATTCAGCGTCCTTTAGTTCGACTGCGCCGGTGATGAACTCCCCATTTATGAAGATGCAACGCGCTCCAGTGATGGGGTGAATACGAATGAGTGGGTGAATGGACGTGATGGGGTCCTTGCGCACCAGGCTCCCTGCCGCGCGCGCTTGGTTTATTATGTTCGCTGAGGAATGCTTGACTTTGATTCCGTCCAGGAACCTCTGCATGGTGGGGGAAAGGCGCCTGAACGAAGGAAAAAGTTCCAGTGGAGAGGTGTATCACGGAGATGTGAGGAAACGCACCGGTATGCTTCATCGGTCGCCGCGAATACTGTATCGCCCCCGACCTCGGGTCCATCCAAAAGACCAAGCATGACATAACCCGGAGGCTGCATCTCGTAGCTGACGTCCTGATGCCAGAGACATGACGTTGTCTTTTGGCTAAAGAACGCGTCGAGTTCCGGCTTCTTTCCGTCGCGATGGATAACATGGAAGCCCGGCAGTCCTAGTGAAAAGAGAATATCCCTTATAACTGTCAGCAAATGCCGAACGAAAATATCACGAACCTGGCAGACTCGCAGAGACAGGGTGATAGTTACGCTTCCCAAAGTAATCCATAAATTTCTGAATGACTTCAGGGCCAGCATCGATGAAATCTTGCTCGGGAAAGGCTACTATCTTGCGCTCCGAGATGAGGAGTGCGAGCTCGTCCTTGGCGGGATCGGAGAGTTGGCTGAGTTGCACGTTCCGGAGTACTGTGCCCATCTTCGGAGTCATGTCTTTCGTGACGGCAGAGGGTGTGAGCAGGTTTGGCTTCTGCTTATCTGCCCGAAGCGCAGGATCTAGGAACTCAAAAGGAGGAAGTTTGTCGAACCAGACTTTGTTCCACGTGGGCGCGTATCCTGAGCTCCAACCCAGGCAGAGTAAGTACCAGCCAACGCGACAAAGATATCACGGACCTGGGATACTTGCAGAAGCCGAGGGGTAGTTACGTGTCCCAAAATAATTCATGAAGCTTTGCTGCGCGTCGGGGGGCCTAGCCTGGGTTGCATCTCTCTTCGCGGTGGGGATGGATTTCGCGTGTTTAACGTGGTTACAGCGACGCAGAAAACACGTTCCATTACGCCTCGAACCATAATGTGCTTGCTGACGGCAAATCTTTAGAGCAGAGCGGCTGAAACGACGTCAAAAGCACATCCTCAGCATGAACAAGTGGGACTGCACATACACCGAGTTTTGGTTCATGCTGCGAGATGCCGGTACGTCGTGACGGAGTGGGCGGAGAAGGCGAGGGGAAAAAGCAAGGAACGGAGGAAGATCGGCTCGGGCCATCAGCTACATCTTGATGAAGTGTACGCGAGCTCGCCGAGCTCATTATCGAACATCATAGATGTTCACCGCCCAAGTGTCATGTTGTCCCATGGTACTACATCGGCGAGATTGGGCAGCAGTGACGCTACGAGTTCCTGGGATTCCCGAGCCAATAGGTACGTCGTTCCCTGTGAGCCTGAGATGGCCGAAATGAAGCGGTGTTGTCACGGCGACTGATCTTGGCCCCAGCGGCCAAGAGGTGAGTGATCTCTGGATCGTTCAATTGGATTATGTCAGCTGATCATCAACCGGTGTTGGCCGCGACCACTTTTTGTGTGTTCCTCGGAGCACAGAGGTCATCGGAAAAGAATGCATTGTCATTGAGATTACCACAGGAAGTAGTCTTGCTAAAAATTTGTGTAGTTGAGCCTGGGTTGAATAAAAACACGGCGACTTGAAAATGATGGCAGCTGATGGCAACTGATGCACACTTCCCGTTTTGGGGGGTGGGTCGTGGGAATTATTGAGTGATCCAGAGATCGCTCACCTCTTGCCAGCGGCCGTTTCTTTTCTCTTTTATTTTCCAAATTGGAGTTATTGAAGCCGGGGAGACCGGCGAAGCCTGCACAACGACATTGATCTTTGAACGACGCATTTAAATGAGCCGGCAAAATACAACTACAGGTCAGAAACTGGCGTCCCCGAGCAGTAATATCGCATTCCCGAGGGAATGATATCAGGCCTCGCTGGTCCTCCGTGTAGATGGCATTTTCTTTTCGAGGGGAAAGCAGATTCGCAAACGCAAATACAATATAGTTATAGGGAGAGATCCTATCGTGCCCGCTACGCATGCAAACTGGAGATCCCGGTCCTTTTCAAGTCTGGAAGGGTTCCGATTAGACCTTGGGATGCGGTTTTGAATGCCAGACTCACCTGTCGGAATATTGGGTCGAATCGACGCCGCCCATACAGTTGAAAAGGCACTAGCCGGCGTCAGTCAGTAAGCGTCCCAAAATTCATTTGACAACGTACTTGGGCGCTCCCATATCATTCAAGACTCCGGGTTCGAGGCTGCCGGTGTCGGGTCCGCAGCAAGGAGAGTTGGTGCCCCAGAGGGGACCTGCGGCCCAGATGGACCACCCGATCCATTCGTCGTTGGCAGCCAGGTATTTCACGAGGTCGTCGACGAGCTGTGGGGCCATGGAGCCCTTTAAACATTTGTTTCGTGTCAAGCGCTGAACGCACCTGGAAGCAATTTTCGTTGTCGCCTCCGCCGAATTCAGTTAGTACTGCTCTATGAGGGGTGCGTTCAGTCAAAACGTATGCGGTGCAATGTGTATATCTCTCACTTGAGATTGTTGTCGCGCAGCCAAGCCGTCACATTGGCGAGATTGGAGGGACCTGAACATATAAGACGCCTTGCGGGCCAGTTTTACTATGCACGTACCCGGTTGTGTGCACTCTGCGTGTCCCCCGGAGAAATCGATGTCTGCCAGAAAGGTCATTGAAGTAGTATTTTGCGTGGGGCGCTAGGACTGACCCAAATACTATTGGGTTCATCAGGAAATGGCTCAATTGGAGAGGTTGGCACTTCACCTCATGGATATCGATCGCAGTGTTGTTTATCGGGTCCACCAGCTTGTTCATGAAATCGCTAGACGGGGCATCCCCGTTAGCACCAGTCAATTGTGTCCAGGAGTGGCCTCCAGTGAAGCCGTTCCCTGGTGCGAGGATTAGCTGGGACGCACCCGCCGCACGGATGCCGTTGATTGCAGCCTGGTTGTTTTTTAGCAACAGGTCCGTGGGCTAGACGAATGGTTAGCGGTGTATGATTGCTGGGGAAGTGAACCAACCATATCATGGGGCTCGTTGTTTATCCCGAATATGACTTTTGGGTTGTCAACGAACCGGAGGGCGAGTTCGTTCCAAAATTCTTCGAACTGCTCAGTTGTCGCGGCCTTGGGATCGGAGCTGTTGCCAATAACCTGTTGGTGTTGATCAAGAATAGCGGCGGTTCAGAAGAGTGTTCCCGTACGCTTCCTGTGGAGGGCTGCATTGAGGGATCGCTGTCGTGTAGATATTAGGAAGAAATTTCTGAGGTTTGATGAACCATACGAACTTGTATCGCATGTAGTTGTGAGGGTCGAGCAGAGCGTATGCACCCTTGGTGAGTGTGATATAATTGATCGCG